AAAAAAAAAATGAATCCATGCACAGCGGAAGAGGTGACAGATGTTGTGAGCGGGCGGTGACGTGAGTTCAACACCGAGCGATTCAGCGACCGAGTCGGGCAGGGCGAAAAAGCAGAGGTTGCAATCAAAAGTTTTGTCACGCTTGCCCGAACGAATGGCTGTGCGGGTGGAAATCGAGGTGATCGAGCGGAATGAAAGATATTCCACAAGCCTGCATCTCTGCGCCAAAGCCGACGCGAAGAATTTCCATCCGCCCTCACTTGCGTGCATGGCTGGTCGGATCGATTTGATTGAGTCGCGCTCCACATGCCCGATTTCGTTCCACCCGATGCCCCAGCTAGCTGCTGGCTCCGACTTCCGAGCTGCAGTGGAGGCTGGATCTAGCGGGCGCGGCCTGCAGCCAAGCAGAAAGAAAAAATTCCTGGAAAAAAGGCGAGCGAAGAAGGGTGCAGCAGTCAACGCCGGCCATTGCGCATCAAATCCAGCATTTGGTCATTCCACCTCTTTCCTCCTCATCGCACAACGCCCAGCACGATCGCAGCATACCTCCCGGTACCATGTCCAAGGACGGCAAGACCAAGACCAAGGACAAGTCCAAGCGACGCGAGTCCAAATCCGGCTCCGAGCCTAGGAAGAGTCGCAAGTCGTCATCCTCCTCGTCCACGCTTCCTCTGACCGTCGTTGAGGATGGTGCGGCGTCGGCATCGAGCACTGCCTCGGGTTCTCGCACCGTGACCTCGGCGTTCGAGACCATGTATCCCGTCCTCAACCTTCCCATTCCACCCGTCTGGTCCAACGATCCGTATGCCGCATTCTCCGACCTCATGGATACGCTCGTCATGCGCCATGTGCCGCAGCTCTCGGGCGTGCTCATCACCCACTCGCCCACGCGCTTCCTCCAGGACACGGCACTCTTCTCTGCCGACTCGGCTTTCGCCACTGCAGCCGTCGGATTCGAATGCGTGGTGTGGAGACCCAAGATCGGTCAGATGCTCGAGGGCACCATCTGTCTCTCCTCCCCATCCCACGTATCCCTCCTGCTCTATGGCTTGTTCAACGCCTCGATCCCTGCATCGCATCTGCCCGAGGGGGACTGGGAGTTTGTTCTCAACGATGCAGAAGCCGGGTCCAACGATCACGGCCTCGGATACTGGCAGAGCAAATCGGACGGTTCCCGCCTTGGAGGCCAAAACGGCACCCTCGCTTTCACCGTCATTAGCCTCACAGTGGCAAACCACATGCTCTCCCTCCACGGCTCCCTCCTCCCAGACCCCTTCAAAGGCCCCCCACCCACGCTCGACCGTTCCTACCTCAAAAAGAGCCTGCTTCCAAACCAGCTCGGCCTGGCAACGCCATCCGCCCGTCCAACCACCCAGACCGCCGAATCCCCCGCTCCTACGCCGCCAAGACGCGTGCGTTGGCAAGACCAGGACAACTCCGACACAGACCAGGACCAACCCGACCTCTCCGCCCTCGAAACCCCACAAATCGTCAAGGCAGAACCGCCCTCCATCGACTCGTCCGCCAAACCAGCCTCGGAAAAGCACAAGCGCAAGTCCTCCTCCACAAAGTCGCCCCCAGACGTGCGCGAAAAGAAGCGCAGAAAGGAAGCCTGACCACCATGTACTCCATCGCACGCATGCATGCAATCACCGATCCACCGTCTCGCTCGCTTCCCCGCAATCGCATCCTTCCGCACAGCTTCGCACAGCCCGCAACGGGTTCACATCATGGATTCGTCTGGATTACACACATGCGACGATAGGCAATGCTGCAAGACCACAACATCGAGGGTAAGGAGAGAGAGTAACGTGAGAACGAGCGGCGTGCAAAGGACAGAGTGATTGCGGACGAAAGCGGTCCCGGGCACCCGTCGACGCCGCCCGCAAAGCAGAGTTTTCGAGCGACGCGAGGGCCCGCGGAAGAAAAGGGAAAGTCGAGGGTCAAGGTGGGGATGGGGTGCACGACAGAAGTCGATTGAGATACAGTGGTTCGTAAAGCGGCGAGACACCGCTTGTTGTCGCTTTGGAACGCGACGCTTTTGGGGGCCGGGGACAGTCGACATGGCGACGTCTCTCGACAAGGATGAGACAGAGCATCAGGCCGCGACGGCGTCTTCAAGGCTGCGTGCTCTGAGCCTGGCTGAAGTTTTTGGCCATCTTCTCAAAGTCGCGTGCGAGCTGCTGGCGCACCCGGAGCTTGTCCGGCTTCGAACGCAGGTCGGGATCCGAGACGAGCAAGAGCCGCTTGACGCGCGTGATGAGGCCCTTGCTGCCCTCCAGCGGAATGTCCAAAAAGTCGTAGCGCTGGATGCACCGCTCGAACTTCTGGAACTCCTCGCCGTTGAGCTCTTGCTGGAACCGCATGTACAGCTTGCGCTCGAACGAGATGCCCTCTTCCGCCTCGAGTGCGGGCGAGGCCGAGACGAGCGAGCTAGGGCTCGACGCGTTGCTCAGCTCTTTGCGTGCCATCAGTCGGACGGGTTGGGCCTCCGTCGCAGCCATCAGTCGCTGCGAAGCGGCGGCGATGTCGGCATGGACGTTCAGGCCGGCCGCAGCGAGCTGCTCGGTGAGAAATTCGGGCGAGGTCTCGTTCGAGTGCGCCTTGACCGTCTTTGGGTTGCAGAAGATGTCCTCGACTGCGACGGGAATGGCGTCGTGCACGCTTCCAGCCCGGCTTCGCGTGCGAGTGCCCGACTGGGTGCTGAGGCGAGAGGCGGCACGAGACGCGGGCCGCGAGGGCACCGTCTGGCTGCCGATCGGCGTCATGGTCTTCTGCTGCGCATTGAACGAGGATCGCATGGCCTCGCGTCGCTTCTCGACGCACTCTTGGAGGTAGTCGCTGCTGGACTGGGGCTTATCGTTGGGGCTCGCCTGCCGGCTCAAGGTGGTGGATGAGGATCTAGCCACGACGCCCGAGGCGGTGAGGGCGCCCTTGACGATCTGCGCCAAGCTGAGGCTCGAAGCACGGTCGCCCGAGACGGTGCTGCGACGCTTGCTCTGCAGCGCTGCCTTGGTGACGCCAGTGCTGGCCACGATGCTCGCAGCCGTGGTGGCGATGTTGCTTTCGAGGTAGGTGCCGTGGAATCGCTGAGCCGACGCAGGACGTGCGATCGACTCGGCGGCATCTTGATGAGCCAGCGCCTGCGACGTTAGGGCGTGAGTGCCTCGGTAGTCGCCCAGGACGGTGCCGGCGCGCGGAACGACCATGCCCAAAGCACCGACGGTGCCGGATCGCTGATGCGCCGGACGCTTCTCGGGCACGTCGGAGCGAGTGCCAAGTCGAGAGCTTCGGCCTTCTGCCGCGACTCTGGCAGGTCCATCAAAGGCGCCTGCGCCAGAAATATGCTCTGGCATCGGGCTCTGCGATCCGGCGATGGAACGGGTGGTGTCCATGCTGCTCCTCGCGCCCTCGAGCGAGAAGTCGCGGCTGGAGGGAGCAATCTGTGCGCCGAGCTCGGGCTCCAGATGCTGGGTCGTCGTGACCGTCTGGACCATGGAGAAGGCGTTGGGGTGAGAGGAGGCGGAAGGACGAAGCTCGGAGCGGTCCTCGAACTGGAGGTTGGAGGAGCAGTAGGGCGTGTGACGAGGCGCTGGTGCAGCCTCGGTGTTCCTCTCTGCCGAGGAAGGCGCCGAAGGCACCGAGAGATGGTCGTAGTCGACCACGTCGACGGCGCGATACTGGGCGTTGAGGTTGCCGCCGGACAAGCTTCGCTGAGAGAGACAGTCCTCAAGCGTGTTCATACGCCCTTCAAGCTTGGTCCTCGTCTTTGCCTCTTGAAGCACCACAGCACGGAGCTCCGCGTTCTCGTCCTCGAGTTGGGAGTTTTGCTCCTTGATGAGCCTATTCTCGGCCTCGAGGGCGCCGAGGTGAGCCTTGAGCTTGGCCGAGTACTTCTCCCATCCCTTGCACTTGGCGGCAAGCTCGTAGTACTTGGCCTGAAAAGCGTCCTGCAGGGCGTCAATACCGATCTGTGGCGACAAGGGAGACGAGGGTGTTAGAGAGCCATCCGGATTGCTTTGGGTTTGTATCGCACCAGGTGCAAGGCTGGTCCGAACATCAAGACGATGTTGGGCCGCGACTGCGAATACTCACCTGTTGCTCTTCCTCGAGAAGTGGCGAGCTGATGCGAGGCAGGAGATCCTCTTGGAAGGTGTAGCGTGTGTCGTGGCGAAGTGGCTGCTGATGCTGATGCTGATGCTGAAGCTGGTTCTGGAGCTGGTGCATTTGGGATGCCGGCTGGTTGGACAAAACATGGGTTTGGGCCTGGGCGGGCTGCTGTGGCTGCTGCGGCTGCTGCTGCGGCTGTGTGGACAAAGTCTGGCTGCGCTTCTTTACGACACCTTGAGAGGAGGAGGACGAGATCTGGCTCGAGGCGTTCGACATGTTGGAGATGTTGTCGGAGCTCATGGCGAAGCTCGAAGGGGCCATGACGCGGAGGTAGGATTTCCTTTCGGCGGTCTGGTCGTCGGTGGTAGGATCGCTGGAGTACTGAGTGATCTTTTGGTCCGAAACGCTGGTGGACAGCTGGATGGAGGTGTTGGCCGAGGCCGAGCTCGACTTTCGCGCGTGTTGGTCGACATCTCTGCCAGCGTGGGTGGTGGCGTGGTTGGGGCCGGCACCGACGTGGCGCTGTTGCTCGCGCTCCTTGCGAATCTGAGCACGCATCTCTGTGTAGGTGCCCGAGCCTCCGTGAGCGGCTCGCGAGTGAGAACGGAGGGTTGCTTGAGCTACATTCTGAACGGAGGTTGGGGCAGGTGCCAAGGGCCTGCGATTCATCTGGCCGAATGCGTCCGCTGACGATGTGGAGCCGAGGGGTATCTTGTTTGCAAGCTAGGAAGAGCTTGAGCTTGGACGGGCCAGGAAGCCGAAAAGGAACGCAAGGGAATGTGAGGGTCGACGATGATCTAGAGGTTGGAGACGAAGACGGGGGGG